CAATGATAATAAGTTCATGTGACATGAATTTATCACATGATAATATATTTCATGTGATCGGTGACTGTTACCGGCGGCGACATATACATTTTTCCTTTATTCTTAATTATAACTTTGCTTAAAATTGTAATTATTAAAAAATAAATATTTATTATAATATAATTAAAGTGAATTAAAATTATAATAATTAAAAATATTTTTTAAATCTATACCTTTTTGAATATTCATTTTGAATATTAACTATTTTATATCAATTTATAGCTCTAATTGTGCTTTACAACTTTACTTAGAATTTTATTGAACATTTACTTGAACTTGAACTTGAACTGGATTTTTGATCAAATTTGAGTTTGATTTGAAATTTAAATTAAATTCAAACCAGATTTTAATTAGATTTGAATTTTCAAACCAAATTTTAATCAAATTCAAATCAAAAAATATTTTATCCAATAAAATATAATTGTTCAATAAAATTTTAAGTTCATAATATATATTATAAAATAATATTATAAGTTCAAATATAAATATATTATAAGAAAAAATGTATTTGTAACAACTGTTATTTGTAATAACCACATTTTAATTGGCTAATTAGAATCTGAATTAGAATTAAGATTCTGAATATGTAATTGATTAATATTGAAGTTGTTACATGTAATAATTGTTACAATTGATTCTTCTTTTAATGAATATCTTATAAACCGATAATAAAAAATTAAAAATTATATCCAAGTATTTGAATTTCAATAAGAATAAAAGATTTCTAGTTTCTAGTAACGGAATCTTTCATTACAATTGTACATAAATATTATCAAGTAACAAAAGACTTTGGAAATTATTATAATATTGCGAAACTTCTCTATCTCAATCACCGCAATACCGCAATCTCAACTATTTCCTTGCTTTAGGTGGTATCTCTCTTCCAAATAATTCTTTAAATTGGGTTCATTGGTTTGCTCGATTTGCTTGAAGAGTTCCGTAAACAAGTGTTTCATTAAGAATGTCGAGTACACTTAAAGCAAAAGTCATAGCTTTTTAAATAACAATGTATGTTAATGACAAGATATTTTGATGACTTTTCTCAGCACAGGTTTCATTGGTTCTAGTAATAATATTGATTCGCCAATAAGGCTAATTGGTTGTTCTTTATTTACGTTTTCGCCTTGCAAATCTCAATTTTGTACGAGTAACAGTACAAACGCGTCGCGAGTAAAAAGAAACGCGCGTAATTTTTACGCGACGAAGCGACAAACACGACAAAAAAGCCAGCTAACCAATAAAATTGAATGTTTTTCGTCAAGTGATGTGTGGTTTTCAAGGTATTCTATTGCCAGGTGTGCAAGGTCATAGTTGTTCTAGCCACCACAAGTCTGCATACAATTTTACCCGGAGAAATTAAATTAGGAAATTGATGAATCAACTTCACGTTGTAGGATTACTCGGATGTATCACAGTGCCACTTTAAAGGACGCGACGCGTGGAAACGCGTAAAAATCTCGGAAAACATTGGAAATAGGGTGCACAGAGTAAATACCCTCTGTTCATGTAAAAGGTATAAAACAATTATTTTGCGCGTGAGCTTTTTGTTGTCTTTCTTCTTTCTCTTTACTTTTTTTACCTTTACGAGAGATAGAAAGTAATCAAATAGTTTTTTATAAACTCAAGCAATACACACACTCTACGCCCATTCTTCTTTTGTAAAACAAAAAATGGCCAGCGACAATAATGTTATCGCTATTGACAATAGCAGTGTTATCGGTTATTACATTCCTTCGACCTTCGAGCTACCCGAAGTCCCGAATGAATACGAGTTTCATCAGCAGCGTATGCAACGTATTAAAAACGGCGGAAGTGCTCAGCCTTCGCCCGCTATTCACTTTACAGAACTATTACCACAACAGGAAGCGACCGCAACCACCACCAGTGGTGATGCTAAAGTTATCAATAATACTTCCTTAACTACGCCGACAAAAGAAAATTTACCGCTTCCGCTTTCAAAAGAATTAACTGAACTACTACAACCGATACAAACTCAGACATTTCAAGACGCGTTCCTCATTGAACCAGCACCACTCTCTGTGACCTATACGACACTTGGGGAGGGAAAGCAGGAGCAAACTGCGAATTCACATTCAACACCTCCTGCACAAACTGTCAAAAATGATAACAATACCAATTATAATAATGGAGCCAAAGTATTCGCGTGCACTAATTGTAATCGAAAATATCAAGGCAAAAACGCGCGTTCTATCCTCCGACGTCATTTGAAGGAAAAACACGGGATTGAGGCGCCAAGAGGTACACGATGGGATAATGATCCTAATCGACCAAAAACCGATGAAGAGAGGCGTCAACGCATGTTACAATCAAAAAGAAAGTTAGTAGATATATCCACGTCTTTTTACATTTTTTTACGTGTTACTTATTCATTTACCCTTTCTGCTAATTATTAATATTAATAAAGATGGGCACAGAAAGCGCGTGCAAGAAAGAACGCACTCAAAGCATCATCCGCTGTTCCTCAAATGTCTAATCCCGGCACACCGAAGCGAACAGACGATAACGACGAAGATAATATTAATAAACCAACATCAACAGAATCTCCTACGACTGCTCGCGCGGCTTCGCAATTGCTTTACTTGAAGACTTCGTCTCTTCCTTTATCTTCTACAACAACCACTTCCGATGAAGAGTCGCCACAAACTCCATCTCCCACGGATAATTTCTTCTTTAACGATAATGTTGATGTTATCACACTTGACACTGTAATGACCGGAGGATCGGAAAACGATGATGAGAATAACATCGTGACGTCAACAACCAATAACACTTCTAGTTGCAGTAATTATTTTTCAACGACAACATTACCGTCTATCAATTCATTAACAACATCAATAGCTACCCCGGTCGTTGATCCATATCTAATACACACAGCCACTCCTACCACTGCTATTACAACTACTACAAACTCTTCTCTTGCGTTACCTCCACCATCCACAATGATGATTCCACGACCACGTACACCAATCATGGGTAATCGATTATTGCAGACACAACGTTCTTCTCCGTGTCATTACGCGTACACTCAACAGCAACCGAAACGATTCCTCTATGGAAACTTTGTCAGTTTTTAAGAAATGCCTTATATCGATCAGTTTGAGCAAAAATCTGATTAGATTTTTCTTTTGTATGGATGGACATTATTATATTTCTACATAGTTTAGACTTGATAATACACTTATTAAAAAAAAATAATGTAATTGCAAGTAATGTATATTTTAATATCGTATATCTCAATTTTTAGAACAATAAAAAAACCGATTTCTACCTAATAATAATCATAATAATAATGTGTAATAATAACGATAATGAGAGGTTAAAAGAACATATTATTTATATATGCATATCATTTCTTGATTTGATTGATTGATTGATTTAGGGATAGACACGACAATGGACAAACATTCAAACACGACTTTTTAAATTAATAAATATCGATATACCGTAAAATTGGCGTCCATACACAATTTAAGCTTTCTTCCCACCACGAACTTCCCTTTCCTATCATCGTCATCATCATCTCATGAAACTCAATCATCACAATCTTCGTCTTTAAATTCATCAAATAACACCATCAATGATAATGAAACCAACAACTCCACCACTAACAGTAACACATCAAAGGCTCTCCGAATAATCCAATCCACAATCGAAAACGGTTACCATCTCGTTGATCTCTCGTATCTGAAACTGCGCGAGCTACCGATAGAGCTAGCGGAACTAAGATATCATGTGGTATTGGACCCGCAGACTGGCGTCTCGAATAAATCGTTGAAATTATTCTTGGCCGCAAACAAGTTGTGTAAATTGCCAGGGTGGTTATGGGATATGAATAATTTGAAGGTGTTGAGTTTGCGTGAGTGTATTATTTGATCGTGACTTCACTTGGTAACTTAACACAAACTATTGATTGATTGAACAAAATTATTAAGGAAATAATAAGTTACGTGAATTACCACCGGAGATAGGTTTGCTAAGTAATTTAGTCGAGTTATCAGTGGGTAATAATCTCTTGGTAAGCATACAACTAATAATAACCAATTAGCCAAAGAACAAGAAACAATCAAACATATATATATATATATACCTTTTGATTTAGAAATATCTTCCATCAGAAATTCTCCGATCACCAAAGCTTGATATCCTCAACATTGATCCGAACCCATTTCTCTCTCCAAACGCATTAATCGCATCACCATTATCTTCACAATCATTCTTGCTAAAAACACACCATCGCCATCATCAACAACAACTTGTAATCCACCAATCCACTCAACCGGCCTCACTACTGGATCTTGTGGCGCGTCAATGTGCATTGTTTAACTTGATCGCCGAAAACCCCAGTAAACCCGAACTTCCTGCCCACCTCTTGAACAGAGTATTGCACGCGAAAAAAGTGAACAAGTGTGCAGGATGTTGCGGGATGTTTTTGGAGTCGTCGATTGAGATTGTGATTTGGAAAGATTTTTTGTTGGATAATACGTGCGTTCCTTTGTTGGTGAGATTATGTTCGGCAAAGTGTTGGAAACATAACTTGGAACTAATTGAATAATTAACATCAGATAATAATTTTTTCTTTTGCATTGATCAGCAAAGAACATTATAACCGAGGAAGAGTTATCTCTTCTTGTATGTAATTTAGATAGAAAAACTTTATTGTTAAATGAATTTGTTGGTTAGCCGCATCTAATATATATTTACGTGAATAACGAAATCCGCGTGGCTACACGTTAACATTAAAAAAGCAAAGAATATTTTACTCGGTTTTATGTTTGTCTACAAATAAATAAATAAATAAGTTAATACATATTTTCTCAAGTAACAAGATAAATGAATCAGAGTAGAAAAGATCCAACTTCTTTGTGTGGCGGTGATGATGATGGTGGTGATGGTGGTGGTGGTGGTGATGGTGGTGGGTGCTGTTACTTGGCAATTAGATCCTTATTGATACCTATTTTTTATAATGAATATCGAGACTTGTTATATTTTCGATTAATCAACCCTTCTCTTGACGCAGACAAACAACCCACTCAAATTAAGGATCAGTGTTGTGCGTGTTCAAATCAAAAAAATCACTACACGCAATGGGCGTGTCAAAGTCGTTTGGATTAAAAGCAATGAATCATCGAATCATCGATACTTGGAATGACTACCACCACACTCTACCAAACCCTCACAAATATCTATTCTTCATTTGAAGAAAAAAAAGTCCATTTGAAAATTTTTTCGGTGCCTTTATTTTTGATCCGATATTAAGTAAACAGGTAGAAGAATAAAGGATCAAAAGAATTTTTGTGGTTGTTGATGATTATAATAATAATAATAATAATAAATAACTATTTCTAAATAGTGAAGAATAACAAAAACGGAAATAATGATGTGTTTGTTCTGCGAGAAAATGTCCCCCTCACATTCCATTATCATTCATTCACTTTTTTTTAATGAAAGAAGCAGATGCTTTTTTATAAAATATGTTTTTTATGAAATTAATTTTTCATGAAAAAATGTGATTTTGTTGTTTAAAGGAGGATGTGGATGGATTGATTCTAGATATTATAATAAGCAATGAATACAGTGACGGGAAAAGGAAGGGAGGGATAAATGAATGACAAGAAAATAATGTCTTGTATGAGAGAATGGAGAGAAATGCAGAAGATAGGGATCGAAGGTGTTATGTAAATGTAAAGAGAAGGAAGGATAAACTCAAAAATTTATGATACAAAAGAAAAACTATGAGACAAAAATTAAAGAGAAGAGACACTCTTTTAAAGGTGAAGATGATGATGATATCTTTTTGAATGAAATGATGAAAATATTACAATATGTAAAAAGAAAAAGAGAAACCGAAAAATAAACAAGAGGTGACTGAAGTTGTGTAATGTGATAACGACAGAAGTGTAAGGAAGGGAAAAAGAACTTCAAACCTTAACCATATTTATATTTCTGTGAATAGTGAGAGGGAAGAAAATAGATATTGATGATCTACAAGCAAGAGAGAAAGAGAGAGGAGAGAAAAGAAAGAAGGATTCTATAGTCCAAATTGCAAAACAAAACAACTGCTGACTACCTACCACTATTAATAACAAACATTCTCACTGTAATTATGTAGGCACCATATTGTTCCCATCATTCAACAGAGTCTCAAACCAATACAAAATAATTTGAATTGAACGCGCCATTACACTGTCCTCACGCACAGAATCAAATCCTATCCAATCTGAATATCCCGCATTGGTACCTTGACTACCATCAAGCACAAACACAGACGTGATTATCCCGAACAGGTAGACCACTAGTGTGTATAGTGCGAATGTGACGGTGCTGTTCACCTGTGATGAGACGGCCATGTTTTGGTTGCGTGTGACTAGTGTTTTTGTTGTGGGAATTGTTGGGGTTGTGGTTGGTGTGTCGGAGTTTATTGTAGGCTGGCGACGAAAATGGTCAAGAAAAAGTTTAGTTAACCTCAATAAAATTTATTGCATTTTTTATTATACATGGTGGTGACGTCATTTCGGAAATTTTCCGTTATGGGTCAATAGGTTGATAGAAATCATTGTCAGAAAATGACTGACTTTCTATCACGCTTATCCCCCATTTTCGTAAAATAAAAAATGCTTATCCCTCCCCGTTTCTTATAATCAATCAACTAAATAATTATAGTCATAAATTCTTCAATAATACAAACCTCTGTTTCTGAGACTGGTGTCACTACTTTTTATATAAGATAAAAAAATGCTAAGCAAAAAAAGTTTCGACAACAAAGCAAGCAAAAAAAGAAATGGATATATCACCTCCTCGTTTGCGAGGACGTGTCGATTTTCTTGTCAACCTCGACGAATTTCTCGTTGAATCAGCACTCTGAGATTGCGCCAGCTGCTGATTTCGAATCAGATGTAAATTCTCAATCATCGAAAATTGAGAACCAAGTTCCGACGAGAGATCCTGGTAATGGTTAACGATACGTTGATTATCCGATAATTGACGACGAGACGAAGATCGATTTGATTTTCGTGTAGTGTGTTCTTGGTGCGGTGATTGTTGATCCATCGTCGACAAGGATCGATGTCTTTCCAGGTCATGTGTTGTTGATGATAGTGTTGACGGTGTTGATAATGAGTTCGTTGAGTTTGTTCGTGAGAGTGTTCCCCCACTGATGACGGCTTCGTTTGTTATAATGTCACTGCCACCATTTGATGATTGATCGGTTGTTCGACGTCGGTGCGACTTTTATTTTTGGGTTGGAAGTTTAATTTAATGGGATTCATATACTTGAAATTTCATCCATTATTAGGCGAATAAATAAATAAATACCTTGCTACTTCGACGTTCACCTCGTTCACCGCGAACATCAGCTTCTTCATAATTAGAGTCAGAGCCTGCTGCTTCCTCCTCTTTCTGCTTACTTCGCGATAGTTCCATCTAAATAATAGATCGATCGATATCAAGCAATCTTAAACATATTATTACCGATATTAAATTCAAACACGACAAACCTCCAAGTTATTCTCCGAATCTTCAACTATATCAGTAAGATCAAGAAAAGTATGATGTCAAGGAAATTATTTAGATTTTTTATTATTATTGTTATAAAATCTTAAAAAAGGATATAGTTTATTATCGCCCGCTCCTACTGCCAAATCAATCTTTAACTCCAAGTCAAGCTTTAACTTTTCAAGAGTCTCTTTCAAATTTCGATTCTCTTCTTTTTGTTGTTCTAGATCGGCAGCGATTTGGGCTGATTTCGCGACATCCTGATTTAGTTTTTTTAGCGCTGCTTCTAATCCTTGGCGTTCTTCTGACCACTTTTGTCATATAATAATCGGACATGATATTAGTATTAATTATTCTTTTATTTTTAGTTGCATTAGAGTACAATACCTTCACTTGTTCGTTTGTGAAATTAGTCAGATTCGCTTCGGTATTTTTTAACTGAGCTTCTCTTTTTCGCACAGAATCTCGCAGTCGCTCAGCTTCCTCTCGTAGTCTTTCTGCCTCCGCTGTAAAATTATTAATCCTTATTAATTTAGAAAATAAACCAAAAGAAACCAAACTCAAATCCAAGTAAATGTAAAGATTCAAGATTTTTGAATACAAATTACTAATTTCACAATAAGGATTACTTACTGGACTGTTCTTCGTATGCTTTTTTTAGACTATTGTACATTTGTCTTTGACCCGTTAAGTTTCTGCTGACTTTTTGCATCTCATTTTCGAGCTGTGGTGTTTCATGGAATCACACGAAATAAATTTTATTATAATTACATAAAAAAATATCGGGATCTAAAAAAAAAAAAATGGAAAATCAACCAACCGCCGAAATCTGATGCAAATTCGTCTTCTCTTTGCTCTTGTGATCCTGAATTTCCCGTTTTTTATGTATCAAATCCTGTTTGGTTTGTTCCAATTTCTGTTGCAGCTCTTCGATTCGGTCCTCATGTTGTCGTGCAACAGTTGCGAGATTTTTCTCGGATTCTTTGAGTTTCTTGGCGAGTTCCACCGTGTGACGGTATAGACGACCTAGTTCCATTGTGGGGTCTTGAACTGCGTGCTTGATAAAAATAAACGGAACAAATCAGATCAAATAAAAGTAAAACTGAAATAGCAAATAAAAAATCATTAAGATAACAGAAATACAATACATTATTGAGTTTAACTAAATCAATTTCACCGGTCCCCTCGATCTCAAATATCGGTGAAGTAGATTCCGCGTAATTAGGTGGCTTTTCAAAGGCGTGAGAAGTTGACCTTGGCTGAAAAGGTGTCATTCCCGTAGATGATAACATCGTTTCTGCATTCTATACAATAAATTATTTCAGTCATAAAATAATAAATACTCCTTTCCTTTAGACTACCCAGAAAGAAAAAAATAAAATACCTCGTCGCGATTAATGTCATGATCCAACGGTGAAGGTCCTCTCGAAGACTCGAATCCGCCACCACCACCCTGATGTATCCCTCTCCTATAATTAATATTATAATTACTTCTCACACTTCCAAACTTTGACCTGCTTATAGTATTTGGTCGTTTCGTAGAACTGTTGTTACTGTTCTCGACATTATTACTTTTTTTGGTGTCTTTCAGATTAGAGATCAACAACAGAACTTCATCAACATTCACATCAATCTCAGGATTATGTTCACACCACGCTTGAAATAAGTCTCGGCCCTCCGTCAATAGAATACAGTCCGGTTGTGTTTGCTCAAATTCAACAATCATGCGAAATAGATTTTTTGATGTGACCTTATTCTCGAATTGGTCGAATAATTGGTTTAGTTGGTTTCTGAGTGTATCATCCTTTTTTTATTTTAATGATAATAATTTGTCTTTATTTTCATCATCATCATCATCATGGAGTATAGAATTTTGGGAAAAAAAGTTCTCTTTACCTGTTGAGAATTTTGAATATTTTCAGCAGCAGTAGCAGCGACCTGCTGCTGGTGGTGATCGTCATAATGGTGTGAACTGACTTCTGTAGTCATTGTTTTCCTATCGCTATTATTAGTAGAACCGATTGGATACAGACTCCTGATGTGGTTGGTATTATATGGTAGGTAATGAAAATGTAAAACTCCTTAATTGCGAAAACTTTTGATTTGATTGAGCAAAGAAGGGGGGGGGGGGGGGGGGGGTGTGGGGGGGGGGGTTTTTTTTTTTGTTTTTTTTTTTTTTTTTTTCAATTAGTAGACCAACGAAAAAAACCCCAAAAAACAAACCTC